GCAGGAGTGTGGGAGGTCTGACACCTGTCAGAGCTGCGCAGCTGCAGGCACAATGATGGCCGAGGACATGTGGCCACCAGTTTTGTGCGGCTAGGCACAGCTCTGCATGGAAACTCCCGGCACAGTGTCGCCTGCAGGCCTGGTCCTTCCCAGAATCAAGTAGTGCGTCAGGGAGTAGAGGAAGAAGAGGGCGCTGGTGAGGACGACCACGGCGGAGATGGAGCCCAGCGCGTAGATGGACATCCTCTTCTCGGCCGCCGCCCTCACGACGCACACGTAGGTCCCAGGGCACAGCCCGGTTCTGCAGAGGATGGGCGTCTCGTCCAGCGTGGGCAGGTTCCAGAAAACCAGGATGCCCAGGAAGGAGATCTCGATGGACATGCGCAGCGTCACACACAGCAGGTAGAACAACAGGGAGGCCTTGTGCCGGTGGAAGTCGATGATCACTTTGCGCTTGGGCCCGTTCTGCTCCTCGGCGTCGATCAGGCCCGCCTGGGCCTCCGACTCGGACAGCGCCGCCTTCTTGACGGCGGACTTGCGCAGCTGGGAGGCGAAGAGCTCCATGAGCAGCACGGACAGGATGAGCAGCACGTAGCAGAAGTTCCAGGCCATGACCGCGGGCCGGTGGAAGTGCTGGTTGAAGCAGGCCCGCTGGCACAGGTCGGGGCCCGTGGTGTTGCAGCTGAAGTCCGTGTCCAGCTTGGACCAGGGCAGCTGGGCCACGAACAGCACCACCAGCCGGATGCTGAGGAAGCCGAACCACAGCGTGCGGCCCTTGTAGTCCGTCGAGGCCTCGACCGCGGTGCGCAGGATGGGGATCAGCCCCGTGACGATGGCGGCCATCCTCCCGCCTCAGCGCCTGTCCGCACAGGGGGAGAAGCAGCGGCGTCATTAGTCAGGGGGTTACAGGGCGCTCTCAGGCCCGCGGGGAAGCACACACACTCGTCTCACACACCGCAGGATAAGACACTTAGTAAGACTGGACACGAGCGACAGGGGGCCTTCAGCCGGTCCAGCCCGTTTGGTAGTTAGCAGGTGATTCATCCCAGGATTCCTGAGAGAATCCAGGTTATCGGCTTCAACAACAAGGCTGGGCAACTTGTTCCCCCCTCCCACCACCCTCTGTGTACAGCAGGGGCTCTTGTCCTGACTGGAGGACTGGTCTCATTCAGCTATTTCTCGAGAGAATCTTGAGTATCGGCTTCAAGAATAAGGTTGGGCAGCATGTTCCCCCCTCCCACCGCGCTTTGTGTAAAGTAGGGCACAAAGCCTCCTCCTGACTGGAGAATCTCATCCAGTTGTTTTCTGAGAGACTCCAAGGTATTGACTTCAACAACATAG